AATTGAATATAAGAAAGCCATTGAATTAATAAATAAAATTAAGTGGTTTTATTAAAAAATAGATAAACTATTGGTTAATATGATTTTTAAAAAGAAAGAAGAAAACCAGATCACTGGTACCAAAAATATACCATTAATAATCATAAAATTAAAGTAACTATTAGGAGTTATTTTGCTCAATTACATGCCAATAAATTTAACAATCTAAGTGAAATGCAGGAATACCTACAAAAATTTAAATTGCCCAGATTAACAGAAAAGGAAGTAGAACCTCTAACTTGACCTATTTTAGAAAAAGGAACTGAACGGACCATAAATGAGCTTCCTAAGAAAAAAGCATCAAAACAAGAAGGATTTACAAGTGAATTCTATCAAACATTTAAAAATCAACTAATTCCAATATTAAATAAAAAATTATTATTGTATTTTGTTTATAGGCAATTGGGGTTAAGTGACTTGCCCAGGGTCACACAGCTAGTAAGTGTAAAGTGTTTGGTCTGAGACCGGATTTTAACTCAGGTCCTCCTGACTTCAGGACCGGTGCTCTATCCACTGAGCCACTTAGCTGCCCCAATTATTTTGAATAATAGGCAAAGAAAGAATCCTACAAAATTCCTTTTGTGGAACAAATATAGTGCTGATACCTGAATCAGGAAGAACAAGAACAGAGAAAATTATAGACCAGTTTCACTGATGAATATTGATGCAAAAACCCTAAATAAAATACTAGCTAGGAGACTACAGCAATATGTCATAGAGATTATACAATTGTGATCAAGTGGGATTTGTACCAGGAATGCAGGGCAGGTTCAATATAAAACAAACTATTAAAATAGTTGACTACATCAATAATAAAAGTAACAAAAAATCATATGATTATATAAATAGATATAGAAAAGGTTTTTGACAAAATATAATACTCGTTCCTATTTAAAAAAACACTTGAAGGCATAAACAAAAATGAATTTTTCTGTATTATCTGTAATGAGGATAAGCTAGAAGCCTTTCCAGTAAGATCAAAAGTAAAGCAAGGATGCTCATTATCAATCATCACTATTATTCAATATTGTGCTACCAATAGCAATAAGAGAAGAAAAAAAAATCAAAGGAATTAGAATGGTCAATGAAGAAGTAAAATTATCTCTTTTTGCAGATCACATAATGGTATACTTGGAAAAGCCTAGAGATTCAACTAAAAATTAGTTAAAACAATTAATAATTTTAGCAAAGTAGTGGGATATAAAATAAACCCACACATATCAGCAGCATTTATATGTATTACCAACAAGAAATTTTCAAAAAGAGATATTAAGAGATGTTTCACTTAAAGTAACCATAGATAACATAAAATACCTGGGAGTATACCTGTCAAGACTAACTCAGGGGCTACATGAACATAATTATAAAACTTTTTTATACAAATAAAGTCAGATTTAAATAATTGGAGAAATATTCATTGTTGGTAACCTGAGCCAATATAATAAAAATGACAATTTTATGCAAACTAATTTACTTCTTCAGTGGCATCCCAATTAAACTACCACAAAATTATTTTGTTGAGATAGAAAAAATAATAATGAATTTTTTTGAAGAATAAAAGTCCAAATATATCAAGAAAATGAAAAATGTAAAGGAAGGAGGTCTGGCAGCACTAGATTTTAAAATGTACTATAGGGCAGTAATTATCAAAACTATTGGTACTGGCTAAGAAATAAAATGCTACATCAGTGGAATAGAGCAGCTACATAATAAACATAGTAGAAAAAGACTACAATCATCTTGTGTTTGGTAAATGCAAAGATCTATGCTTTTGGGATAAGAACTATTTGGTTAAAAAAAAAAGTTGCTAGGAAAACCAGAAAGCAGTCTGGCAGAAGCTAGGTATAGACCAGTATCTTTACACTATTTACCAAGATAAAGTCAAAATGGATACATGACCTAGACATAAAGGGAGATATCAGAAGTAAATTGAAGGAGAATGGAACATATTTCCTATCAGATTTATGGATAAGAGAAGAATATATGAATAAACAAGAGATAAAGAGCATTGTAGGATATAAATTGGATAATTTTCATTATATTAAATTAAAAAGGGTTTATACAAACAAAAACAAAGTAGCCAAGATTAGAAGGAAAGCAGAAAATTTGAGGGGAAATGTTTATAGCCAGTTTCTCAAATAACGGCTTCATACCTCAAACATATAGAGACTGAGTCAAATTTATAAGAATATAAGTCATTTCCCAACTGACAAATGATCAAAGGATATGAATAGGCAGCTTTTGGAAGAAGAAATTAAAGCAATAATAGTCATATGAAAGAAATGTTCTAAATCATTGCTGATTAGAGAAATATAAATTAAAATAGCTCTGAGGTACCACTTCACACTTATCATATTAACTAAAATTATAGAAAGGGAAAATGACAAATGCTGGAGAGGATGTGGAAAAATTGGGACACTAACACACTGTTGGTGGAATTGTGAAATGACCCCACCATTTTGGAAAGCAATCTGGAATTACGGTCAAAGAGTTGAAACTATATCCTTTGACCCAGCAATACCACTATTATGTCTTTTTCCCAAGGTGACTAGGAAAAAAGGAAAAGAACTTATGTTCTAAAATACTTACAGCAGCTCTCTTTGTGGTGGCAAAGAATTAGAAATTGAGAGAATGCCCATCAATTGGGGAATGGCTGAATAAGTTGTGGTATATGATTGTGATGGAATGTTACTGTGCTGTAAGAAATGATGAGAAGGTTGGTTTTAGAAAAGCATGAAAAGGTTTGCATGAAATAATGCAAAGTGAAATGAGCATAGCCAAGAGAATGTTGTGCACAGTAACAGTGATATTGTTCAAAGTGTAACTGCCAATGACTAAGCTTTCTGAGTAATATGATCATTCAAATCAACGACAAAGGACTTACGAAGAAAGATGCTATCCACCTCCAGAAAAAAGAACTGATATATGGAAATGGAAGAATGTATTGTATGATTCCATATACATACATACATATGTATATATGTGTGTACATATACATATGTGTGTGTATACACACACCAAATTTTGGCCTTCTTTAAAGCAGGGTTGGGAGATAGGGAGAGAAACAACTTGCAACTCAAAATGCAACAAAAACATCATAAACAAATCAATGAGTGAATAAATAAATAAATAAAAAGAATCACTGACCTGAATTTTGTTTTGCTATAACAAATAACAAACATCAGGAATTCAGAGAAATAGGAGAAGACTTGGATGAACTGATACAGAATAAATTTTTTAAGAGTGAATAATATATTCAATAAAGAAAACCATGTAAATGAAAACCACATTAAAATGCACTCATATGCATATTAATTGCAGTTACTGATCTTGGTCTCAGAAAACAGATGATGAAACTTAAATTCCCTCCTCTGATTAGAGAGGTGAAGTAATATGAATAAAATAGATTGTATAGCCCCTCAGTGGGCTTTATGTAACTGTTTTTCTTTGATATATGAAAGGATTCAATGAGGTGTATATTTGAGAAATGGTTGTTATGCAAAAATAAAAAAGCATCCAAACATTTTTTTGAATATTATGAGTAGCAATTCTCCAGTTACACTTAGGATGGAAAAAATAATTTGAAATTGCATATAACAGTAGAGATCTAGGTTCAATAAAAGGCAGGAAATTAACATGATTATCAAATACTGCCCTCTTGCAAAAACACACAAAAGATGGGACATGATATGTACCGTTGGAAGGAGAACCCACTGCACTGGTGACTTTCCTCTAGACCTTTTAATATTCCCTGGGCATAAATTCAGGACTCAGGTGTGTCCATCTGTTTTCGTTCACTCTTGACATGTGACCAGACCACATCCTTTTCTGATCATATGCTCCCTGGATTCCTGGATGTTTATATATATGACAAAAATAATTTTATGTGCAATTTTGATTTAAGGTACAGGGCTGGTAAGGTTAATCATTTGAGGTTCCTTTCTGGTTTGAATTGCAGACCAAACACTATTTAAAAGTTGAATAATGTCATCACATTTTAAAGTAAAACTGAGCATAAATATGTAATTAGAGGGACTTGAAGCTAAATACTTATAAGTATGTATGTATTCATACTTTACATAGTAGAATTCCATTATTCCTCCTCTAATTCCATCACATTAAATGTCATTAATTTTGTACTTCATAATAAGGAGAAAATTATAATTATGACAAGCTTAACTTTGAAATGTTGACAGTAACAGAGCAAGCATAATATAAATATATTATGTTTTTAAAGTCATACCTTATTACCAAGAATGATGATTGAAGAGAAATGAATAAGTACCAACCCTAGGTGAGTCACTTAAATATTCACAGCTTTAGTTTCCTCATTGGTAAAAAGTGGAATAATCCTAGCAGCTATCTCACAGGGTTATTGTAAGTATCAAATAAGTTAACATACATAAAGTGCTTTGTACACCTCAAGGCACTATATAAATTCTATCTATTATTCTTATTTTCAATCTCTACAAAAATTTTTTCCATGAAAAAAATCTACAGACTAATCAATAACAATACTGATGAAGGTATGACATTAGCCTTTTGCAAATCACATTCTACAGCACATTGCAATCTTTACAGTTATACAATTGACTGAAAGTTACAAAAATATGTAAATTCTATCATGCTTATTTGGTTGTTGCCAGTAAAAAAATGTTTTAAACAAAATACCATCTTAATATTTCTCTCCAACAAGGTTATCTCCCATATATGTGTTAGAATAAAGGGAAAAGGGAAAGGCATGAGCATTTAGCAAGTGCATACTATGTACCAGGCACTGTGCTAAGCACTTCACAAATACCTCATTTGATTCTCATAATCACTCTAAGAGGTAGGTGTTATTATCATCACCATTTTATATTCGAGGAAACTGAAGCAGACACTGTTTAGGTGATTTGCCCAGGGTCACACAGCTAGTGAATGAGTGTTTGAGGCCAGGTTTGAAATGAGGTCTTCCTTAATCCAAGTCCAGTTCTTTATTTACTTTGCCACCAAAATGACTCATTAAAGGTTATTAAAGAATCATTAAAGATTCATGGAAAGATATAACAATAGAGACAATTTCATTTTATGATCCATTGATAATGCGTATCAAATGACATTTAAGTCAGAGATGTAAGAAAATTGTTTGCTACTGTCAAGATGGATGTCAAGAACAGAATCCAAATGGAAGAGGAATTCTTTGTAGAGTAGACGGAGAAGTCCTCCTGATGTACTTGTAGGTAAATGATATTGTGTTGATTGTATCAAATCCCAGCACTTGGAAGGCCTCCTAAATGAGATCTATAATCACTCCAAAGAATTCAGTCTAACAAAACAAACAAAAAAGACTAGATGAAGAAAGCCAATTATCAATATTTTGATACATAGTTGAATGAAAAATTCATGGATCTGGTACATCAGTACGTAAATCTTGGACAGACAGTGCAAATAAATAATGAACTGAGAACTGAACTGAACAGGAAGAGTTAAACATGGAAGAAAAGTTGGAGAAATGAAGTTATTTTAGTGACCATGTTTTTCCCTGTAAGAAATGCCCATTAAAAAAAATCAGCAGTTTTCCAGTGCAGCTACAGGCCTGTGAATCATAGAATACAACAATGTTCAAGCAAATAAAATTGCATATCACGCACAAAGTGGATTTCATTAGGTTGAAGCATATTAGCACCCATTACATATGGAAGTCCCCCAAGGTCTGTCCTTCTGTATTATTTCACTCGGTGAGTCAACCATCAGCTCCCATGTATTCAAATAATCATCTCTATCCTGATAATTCTCTGATGTATTTATCCAGCTCTATCCTCTCTCCTGATCTCCAGCCTTCCTTCACCAACTGCCTATTGGACAGCTCACATTACATATCCTGTAAACATATTAAGCTCATCATGTCAAAACTGAACTTATCTTCCCCTCCAAACCTTCTCCTGTTTTTAACTATTCTTATTACTATCCCTATTACTACCATCCTCCCAGTCACCCAGGTTCACAACCTATGTGACATCTTCAGCATCCATTCTGTTGTCAAAATGTGTCAAAGCAGTTCTAGGATATGTCCTTTTACTGTTTGACTGCAGTCAAAGGGTCACACTTGAGGACCTAGACGGCCACATGTGGCCTTGAGAAGGCGTATCAAACTATTCTATTTTTCATCTTTTACTGCCAAATTTCTAGAATCCAGATCTAGGCCTACTACCTCTATTTTCCTGCCATCTTCTTCCCTCTGCATTCTGGCCCCTATCTCAACAAATCTATTGAAGATGTTGTTCTAGAAATCAACAATAACCTCTTTCTTTTTAAAAAGAGCCTATTCTCAGTCCTTATTTTTCTTTTAAAAAATAATGGATGTCAAGTTTTTGCTGTTAATATTTAGTTGTATTAGTCATGTCTGACTCTTTGTGACCCTTTTGGGGTTTTCTTGGCAAAGATACTGGAGTGATTTGCCATTTCTTCTCCAGTTCATTTTATAGATGAGGAAATTTAGATAAACCAGGTTAAGTGACTTGCCCAGGGTCACACAACTAGTAAGTGTCTGAGGCTGGATTTGAACACAGGAAGATTATCCTTCTTGACTCTAGGACCTGTAACAAAGAATAAGAAAGAGAGAAAATACAGCTCTGCAAAACCAAAACAACAAAATAATACCATTCAATATCATTTGTGATCTTCGCACCTCTGCAGTGGAGTAAGATATATATATATCTATATATATATATATATATATATATATATATATATATATATATATATATATCATACATACATACATATATGTGCTTTTTGGTGAGGCAGTTGGGGTTAAGTGACTTGCCTAGGGTCATATAGCCAGTAAGTGTCAAGTGTCTAAGGCTGGATTTGAACTCAGGTCCTTCTGACTCCAAGGATGGAGCTCTATCCACTGCACCACCTAGCTGCTCCCAGGTACAGTTTTTTCATCCTTTCTTCAGAATTGTGCTTGGTCACTATATCTACATAGCATTCAGATTTTTTTTCCAATCCAATAAACATTTATTAAGTACCTACTATATGCTAGGCACTGTGCTTAGCACTGGGAGTACACCATCACTTCTCTCAAGGAGCTTACAATCTAATGAAGGGAAACAACATACAAAAAAGAGGTAGGAAGGCGGGGAGAGGGATAGAAGATGGAGAAGAGCATCATGGTGTATCCAGCTCAGGCACATCTTGTTCCATGGCATTGAAACTAGGCCAAGTGGGGCAGCTAGGTGGCACAGTGGATAGAAATCTGGCCTTGGAGCAGGAGGACTTGAGTTCAGATCTGATCTCAGACACTTGACACTAGCTGTGTGACCCTGGGCAAGTCACTTAACCCTAATTGCCTCGCCAAAAAGCGAAAGAAAGAGAGAAAGAAAGAGAGAAAGAAAGAGAGAAAGAAAGAGAGAAAGAAAGAGAGAAAGAGAGAAAGAAAGAGAGAAAGAAAGAAGGAAAGAAAGAAAGAAAGAAGGAAAGAAAGAAAGAAAGAAGGAAAGAAAGAAAGAAAGAAAGAAAGAAAGAAAGAAAGAAAGAAAGAAAGAAAGAAAGAAAGAAAGAAAGAAAGAAAGAAAGAAAGAAACTAGGCAAAGCAGCAGAGGCAAAGTGAAGAGGGCTGAGTCCAGTTTCTGTCCTCTGTAAAGGAGGGCATTGGGAGAAGTTTGATACTCTACCCTCTAATCAGAGGACAGAGGAGACTAAAGGACATAGTGTCAATCAAGGCTAGAATTAGCAGAATGCTGATGAGATGGGGAGTGTGGAACTTATCCTGGGAGGAGCATCTTGTTCCATGGAGTTGAAACCAGGCAAAGCAGCCAATGCAAAGTGTAGTGGGACATGCTTTTGTTATTGTTCTTTTCATTTATATTCTTATCATCATTTCTGTGTGTGTTACTTTCCTGGTTTCTGCATACTTTACTATGCACCTGTTCATAGGTCTTCCTGTGCTTTTCTGGATCTCTAATATTTATTTGTTATGGCAAAATAATATTCCATAGTATTCATATGGATCATAATTTGGCCATTCCCCACTTGATGGGCATCTATTTTGTTTCAAGATCTTGTTTACTACAAAGTAGTACATAGCAACAAGATCTCCATTTTGAAGAATATAGACATCATAGTCCCTTCTTTAATTTAATTCCAAATTGCTTTTCAGAATGTTTGGATTATTTCTCAACCTCTCCGACAACATTAATGACCCTATATGTCTATAGCCCATCCAACCTCGATTATTCCCATTCTTTCCCATCTTTTGCCAATTTGCTAGGTGTGAAGTAGAGCTTCAGTATAGCTTTGATTCATACTTTTTATTAGGACTTGGAGGACTCTTTCATATGGTTGTTAATGATCAGCAATTCTTCTTCTGAAAACGATTGGTTCATATGTTTGGTCAGTCTCTATTTCTCTTGACTTTTCTGCTGTATTTGATACTGACTGAATGATATAGTGGATAAAGTTCTGGAGTTGGCATCAGGGAGAACTCAGTTCAAATCATGTTTCTTACTTACCATCTATACTAATATCATATAACTTTCATCTGACTTTGGGGAAGGCTTTATCTCCATGAGCTTTGGTCCCTCATCTGTAAAACTGGGATAATGACATCTACAAGGCCTTCCTCACAGAATTGTTTAAATCTTCAGGTAAGAAAAAGTACAAAAATCATTACATAAATGTCAGGTATTATTATATTATCCTTCCTGAAACTCTTTTCTTTTTTAGTTTACTTTAATACCTTTTTCTGACTCTTCTCCTTCCTCTTTAATTATTTCTTGTATGTTTCCTGTCCCCTTACTGTAGACATTCCCCAAGACTCTGATCTTAACTTTATTTTTTCTTTACTCATTCCCTCCCCCCCATCTCTCCTTCTACCAGTAGTTAGGTAGCATACTATTTAGAGTCAAGAATAAAAATAACTAACATTTATATAGTCATTATTGTGTGCCAGGCATTGTTCAAAGCTTTATAATTATTATCTCATTTGATCCTTACGAAAACTCTGTGAGGTAGGTGCTATTATTATCCCCACTTGACAGATGAGTATACTGAAGCAAACAGAGATTAAATGGCTTCCCCAGGTCACACAGCTAATAAGTGTCTGAATCCAGATTTGAATTTCATATTTGAGCCTTCCTGATTCCAAACCAGGGACTCTATCCGATGAGCCACCTAGCTGCCCCACTTAATACCTGTGTGACCCTGGGCAAGTTACTTATTGAAATATGAGTTAATCTGACTGGCTATTGAAATATGAGTTAATCTGACTGGGCAATTTCACTTGCCCCCAATTCCAAAACCAAATAGTTTTTCCTCGCCCAACCGGTTCAATTCCCTTTTTCTATCAAAGGCATCTCCATTTCGGGGGACTAGAAACCTTGGTATTATCTTCAACTCCTCATTCTCCTCTCCCCCTCATATCCATTCAGTCAAGTTCAATTATTATAATAAGAGAAAGGCATATCAAGACAACTCTGAAATTTTACCTCATACAAAGCTAATTGGCAAAGATCACAAAGATGGGAATGGCACATGTTGTAAAGGTTGTGGAAAGACAGACACACTAATGGACTCTGGGTGAAGCTATAATTTAGTCCAACCATTCTAGAAAGCAATGTGAAAATATGTCTTTAAAGTGACGAAACATCCATACTCTTTAACCCTGAGTTTCTCACTCCTAGGTATTTACCCCAAGGATTACAAGAACATAAAAGGCCTGAAACACCTCAAAATATTTATAGCAGTACCAGCTGGGGTAGCAGAAAATTGGAAACAAAGCTAGGGAGGAAAGCAAAAACATCAGCTGATCATCAGGGTCCAAAAGTATCATGACAGGCTAGAGAATAGGGCTGAATTTATGAATTGAAATTCAATTGGGATAAAGTTAAAGTCTTACACTTCGCTACCAGAAAACCAACTTCACAAAAACAAGATAGGGGAAGCATGGATATAGATAGCAATTGGGGGAAAAAAGATCAAGGAGGCAGCAGTGTGATATGGCAGTAAAGAAGCTCACGTAATCTTGGGCTATCAGAAGAGGGGCATAGCTTCAAGGAATAGAGAGGTGATAAGCCCACTATACCCTGCCCTCAGTAGAATTCACCTGGAGCGGGAAGCTAGGAGGTACAGTGGATACAGCTCTGGCCTTGGAGTCAGGAGGACCTGAGTTGACACTTACTAGCTGTGTGACCCTGGGCAAGTTACTTAACCCCAATTGCCTCACCAAAAAACAAAAAAGAAGAAGAAGAAGAAGAAGAAGAAGAAGAAGAAGAAGAAGAAGAAGAAGAAGAAGAAGAAGAAGAAGAAGAAGAACTCACCTGTAGTAATAAGTCCATTTCTGGTTATCACAGTTTCAGAAGGACATTGATAAGTTGGAAAATATCCAGAGGAGGACAATGAGGATGATGATGGGCCTTGAGCTCATGCCATAGGAGGTTTGGTAGAAGTAACTAGGCATGTTTAGCTTGGAAAAGAAAAGATTCAAGGGAGACATTAGAGCTGTCTTTAAGTATTTGCAGGCTGTCTCATGGAAGAAGGATTAATAGTGTTCCATTTGGCCCCAAAGAGCAGAATTAGGAGCGATGGGTCAAAGTTACAAAGAGTCCAATGTAGGCCTGATTTCATGAAAAACTTCCTAACAATTAGAGTTCTTCACAAGTGGAATGGTGTGCCTTAAGAGGTGGTGGGTTCTGCATCCCTGAAGGTCTTCAAGCAGAGGCTGTTCAACCACTTTCCTCTCACGATGCAGCAGGGTGACAAGTGGCTTGGACTGGACGGCTAGTGAGGGCTCTTCCTGCTCTCACATTTGATGATTCTGTAACTGGTTAATGTTTAAGCTTCCATTCACATCTAGATCTATGATCCTATGACTTGGAGTCCAAAGACCTGGGTTAGCAGATTAATTTAGGCAAGTGGCTTAACTTCTGAGGCTCAGTTTTCTCACCTATAAAATGGAGATAAGACATTTATACTACTTAGCTATGAAGATTATTCTGAGAAAAGTACTTTTTAAATTTTGAAATATTTTGTAAATGTGCTATAATTATCACATTAGAAACTCACTAAATATTTACTGAGTCAGGTAGAATTATATGGCAGGGGAGACAGCCTAGAGGTAAGTTGGGCAGCAGTGGTATGCTAGCAAATTCCTGCTTATTTTAGATAATCCCCAAGCGCATAATTAATTAAATAATTCAAAGTTGACTACATATATGTACCCTGGCCATTAAAATTAATCTGTGAGTCTGAAGAGAATAGGAATACTAGTTTTAAAAAGTATGAAAGAAATTAGTCTGGTTATGTTTTATTTTTTAAATCTTAGACTTTCATGTGTATATAAAAACACTCTCATTTTTATGACCTATCAACATCTAGATGAAATATGATGGAAAATATTGTTACACAATTCACTTTTCCCAGAGCCAAATATACAGTTCTGACCTTATTTGGAATCTTTTTTTCACATTATTATTTTAGCCAGTCTATTTGTTTAAATGACAAGATTCTAGAAGTTGCTCCATCCTCTTATGCTAGAAGGAAACACTATGTGGAGCAGTCCCACCAGTTCCCTTATAAATGTGATTTGGATTGTTATGAAGGGGATTAAAAGCCTGGAATGCAGCAAGTGAACACATTCTTCATTCCTTTCAGTACCTTAATTGATTTCTCTGCTCAGCCAGCTGTGACATCAAGTGATACACTTAAATGGATCCCGAAAGGCCAGTGTCATCCCTTTTTAGGGCTGAATTAACTCTTAAAGAATAAATTAAGTGTTTTTATTCTCACTAAGGCAGACCAGGGACTAATGTTTATGTTATACTTAAGAAACTATCTCAAAAGCACAACACTGTCACTAGACATGACATATTGAGCTCTTGGCAAAGTCATAGCAAAAGAAAATCAGCTCTAAAAAAAACGACATGGGTACATGGTGCCCATTTGTTAAGTAGAAGAAATTATCAAATATCAAGTACATGGGGTGTTCATCATAGGTGGTGAAGACAAGATGTTATTATCTCCTTAAGTTGGCTATCAAAGCCTCATGATTGTACATACATAGGAATTGAGCCAAGGCTGTTATAAAATTAAACCTAAAGTTTGATTTACAACATTCCTATGTCAAACAACACTAACTTCTCCTTTTATGCACAAAAGTTGTATATTGATTTTCCAACAGAATGTTATGATCATATGACTTAGAAAATACATGGCGAGTACCTTTCTTACCTCCCCCACCAAAAGTTGTTATTAAGAAAATTCCATTTTAATATAAACTGTACTCATTATATCCTATCTAAAGAATGTTTTAGTGATTACTTCTGTTGCTGGATAAAACTGGGAGAGCCTTTATGACTTGCTTCTAAGAGAGATTTCTTCTTATTTGAAACTATGTCATCCCTTTAAATAAGCTTGCTACCATAGAAACTAATTCCACAAATACTGCTCTGAGCTCAGTGCATTCTTGCAGAAATATTTGTTTTTAAAATGCTCTGTGAGTTAGGTCTTTGTTCTCCAAAGAGCACGGTTTTTAAGCAAATTATTACTCTTCTAAATGAATGAAAGAATACGCAATAGGAAAATTATCATGCAAAACTTTCATTTTACACTATTCTCTCCAGTTTACTTTTTCAATGGTTGGCTAGGTCTGTATAAATCAAAAGTAATTATTCATGAGAAGTAGGCTGGCAGAATGGATAGAGAGCTAGCCTTAGAATCAGGATCACTTACACTGGTGTCCTGTCACTGATACACACTTTTCTGGATGATCCTGGATAAGTCATGTAACTTCTCAATGCCTCCAGACTACTCTCTAAAACAGCAGGTTATAGAATTTCTAGACTGTATTGGTGATGGTGATTGTGGAGGTGATGGTAGTGGTGGATCTACCCCAGGAGTTCTATATGTTGATGAAATCACAGGTTTGCCCATATATACATATACATATACATATACATATACATATACATATACATATACATATACATATACATATACATATACATATACATATACATATACATATACATATACATATACATATACATATACATATACATATACATCTTTAATATTAATTTGAAGGGGTGATTTCATAATCTCAACAACTATGCAAATTCTGGGAAGGTTCTATTGATCTTCAAACACTTGAAGGACAGGGGGGCAGCTAGGTGGCAAAGTGGATAGAGCACCAGCCCTGGAGTCAGGAGGACCTGAGTTCAAATCCAGCCTCAGACACATAACACTCACTAGCTATGTTTCTCTGGGCAAGTCACTTAACCCCAATTGCCTCATCAAAAAAAAAAAAGACCTTAAGGACAGATCCACAGGTACCAATTTTCTGAAGAACTAATTATGGAACACCATCACATTAAGAGAGAGTTTAATCACCAGATCATTTTATTTGGTCACAGTTACCCATCATACTATCTTCTAAGTTACGGAGGGGTTGCTATCTGCATCTGTAGAACTCCCAGGGATGAAATTACAGATCCTTGAAATACTGAAATGTTTTCTTGTGGAGTAAACAGTGACCTACACTGCAATCTCTACTTCATAGGGCTATTGTAAAGCCCAAATGACATAATATATTGTAAAGCACTGTACAAACTTTAAAAAATATTCTACAAATACCAGTTTATTCATTTAACAAACACTTACTGTGTTCTTTCTATGTTCCATACAGCATGCTAAGCACTGGGGTACAAAGATAAAAAAAAATATGAAATATGTAAAAAATCATTTCCAGGAGGAGGGAGGGAATAAGCATTTGTTGTTCAGTCATTCAGCCATGTCTGACTTTTCATGACCCCATGGATCATAGCACACTAGGCCTTTCTATCCTCCACTACATCTTGAAGTCTGTCCAAGGTCATGTTCATTGTTTCCATGATGTTATCTATTCCTCCCATCCTCTGACATTCCCTTTTCCTTTTGCCTTCAATCTTTCCCAACATCAGGGCCTTATCCAGTGAGTCCCATCTTCTCATTATGTGGCCAAAGTATTTAAGCTTCAGCTTCAGCATTTGACCTTCCAGTGAATAGCCTGAATTAATTTCTTTAAGCATTGACTGATTTAACCTCCTTGCTGTGCAAGGGACTCTCAAAAGTCTCCTCCAGCACCACAATTTGAAAATGTCAATTGTGCAGTACTCGGCTTTCCTTACAATCCAATTCTCACGGCCATACATTGCTGCTGAAAAAAATGTTTTTATTAAGTACCTACTACATGCCAGGAACTATACTAAACACTACAAATATCTCATTTGATCCTCACAATAACCCTGCAAGATAGTGCTGGTATTGTCCTCATTTGATAGTTGACAAAACTGGCAAACAGAGGCTAAGTGACTTGCAGAGAGTTACGCAGCTAGGAAGTGTCCCAGATTGCATATGAACTCAGGTCTTTCTGACTCTAGGCCCAGCACTTTCACCACTGTGCCACCAGCTGCCTACTAGTACTAGGGCACTAATTACTGGTAAAAGGTAGGGTGGGAGGTAGATGGGGAACAGGACAAAGACAGGATGAGAGATCCAGAAGGAGGTGGTATTTGAGTTTAGCTTTGAAGGACAAGGGAATTCTTTGAAGTAAAGAGGGATCAAGTGCATCCCAGGCAGCAGAGGCAGCCCTAAAATTATATAAAGATGGGAGATGGCAAGAGCCTTGGTTGGATAGCATGTAGTCCCAGGAATTATTATTATTTCATCAAATCTAAATTCCTCTCCAAACATCATCATCTTTCATTTATCTGGCAAGCTAAAAGGGACCATTACTAGGCTTAATATCTTTGGCTAACACAGAGTGCTGCCCTCAGAGTCAGGGAGACCTGTGCTCAAGCCCCATGCATAATGGCTGTGTAAAGCTGGGAAACTCCCTTCACCTCTCATTATCCCCTAGAAATTCTCAAAGACAAAGTTTTAGATATGTCTGTCTATAGTGGTAGATGTTTCCTCCCTGGAATTGGTCTCTCTCTCTCTCTCTCTCTCTCTCTCTCTCTCTCTCTCTCTCCTCTCTCTCTCTCTCTCTCTCCATATGTATATGTGTGTATGTATATGTATATATATGTATATATACATATACACATATATATACTCACACACACATACATACACATATACACATATGTATGTGTGTGTATATAAAATCACTAAACTAAACAAAAAGAAAAAACTATAGCAAATTAGTAGCAAGAGCACATTCCTTTCTAAGTCAGACAGAAAGAATGCCTTATTCCTAGAGTAGTAAAATGAATATTTTATGACAACAATTGTCCAATAATAGTGTCTATAAAAAGAAACATGAGTAAGTCCAAGATTGGTTAATCCAATGGGATAGTAATGTTGCTTCTTCTCCAGCAAAAAAAAAAAAAACAACAAACAAACAAAAAACCACCCCTCACTGAAAACCAGTTGTTCTGGCAGGGGTTTGGAGGTCATTTCTATCATTAATTCAGGCTAAAGCAGATTCATTCCAATGGATCATAATATTTAAGGAAAAAATTATCAACAGTAATCAATTTATTGGTTTTAGAATCCTCTAAGAGAATCATGTTATGATCTTTCCAAGATTTAAATAATCAGGCAAATTTCCCTGTTTAGGCAGGATATTTCTAAACTCATTGGTAGTCTTCTTTGCTTTAGGTGATGTGCAGAGACAGCCTAAGATGGCACACTCTATAATAAGATTTCATACACACACAATTATTTACTGAATAGTGAGAGGCAGCATAGTATAATGCAGTAGTTCTCAAAGTGAGGTATGTGGACTCCTGGAGAGTCCCAGAGACTCTTTCAAAGGGTTCTTGAGGTTAAACCTGTTTTTATGATAATACTGAGATGTTATTTGCTTATTAAAATACACCACCCCCCTTTCCAGCTACATATCTGTGTGAGGCCAGACTTTCTTTATATTCTTCAACAAAACAACATATCACAACAGAATGAATGCAGAAAAAGATAAGAATTGTCTTGTATTAATCTTCCATTCAGCCAGATATTAAAGAGATTATAAAAAATATGTAAAACAATGCCACTCTGGTATTTTTTCATTTTGCAAAACACAGTTATTTTGATAAAATTTGTTATGCTAATATACAATGAGTTTATCATTGTTATTTTAAAATGAATTAATAGATATTTCAAAAATTTTGATCAATTTTCATTTGTAATGTGGTGTATATCAATAGCTATAACTCACATAAACAAAACTCTTTGGAGTCCTCAATAATTTTTAAGAGTTCAGAAAGGTTCTGAGACCAAAAGGTTGAGAACCTATGGTACAATGAATAGATCATGAGCTCCCAAACTTTTTTATCCCTATAACCATTGGCTTTTAGTAAACTTTCTTTATGAAAGGAAATAAATTCTAGAGTTTACCATACATCCATCCATAAGAAAAACATTCTTCTGTATTCTATTTAGAATAAAAGGAAATAAAATCTAGAATTTATCATATATATGTAAAAAAAGATGTAAAATAAAATACATTGACTTCAATTGGACAATACAGTTATGTTTTCTCCTCTGACCTTGACAAGCTTCTCAAAATCCCTGCAGGTACTTAAACCTCAACATAGGAAAACCTAGAATCCCTGGATCAGGATAAGCTGGCTTCAAGGCCAATCTCTGACCCATACTGTCTATGTCATCAGGAGTAAGGCATTTGGCCCTATAAGGTCCCCAGACAGCTCTAAATGCAGAACAATTGCTACTCTGCCATGATAACAGTATTCTCATCAGGAACTCCTTACCCCAATGAAATCATAATCCCGTAATCCCATAATTCATTAGCATCACTTTTCTCTTGAAGAATCAGTTTCTACGGTGACAGGTGGTAGAATTCTAATTCCAGCTACCATTCTACTTTGCTCTTCCACAGAAGAAGGTTTTGTGGGAGAAGAAGCAGAGGAAGGTCTTGAGCCGAAAAGTATGAGAGAAGAGGAGAAAGAGCTTTGGTGATTTAGATGACTTTTGAATTCTAAGGAAGACCAGAGACTGAATTTGGGGAGGGAAAATTTGAAAAGAAGGGCTAGAGTTAAAGGAATAGAAACAGCATAGAAGAGGGAGAAGAACTCACATTGAAAGAAAAAGTATTTGAGGGGAAGGGGAAAAAAAGAACGAGGAAAGGGACCGAAAGAGAAGAAGGAGGAGGAGCAAAAGGAGAATGAGAAGGACACTAGCTGAAGGAGAAGGACCATTCAAAGAAGAGAAAGTGGAAAAGAAGTAACAGGAAGATAAGACTTAAAGGAAAAGGTAAGGTAAATAAGACAAGTTGGTAAGACAAAGTAAGAAGAGGTTAGCAATAGTATAAAAGAAAGAGAAAAGTTAACAGGGTAAGGAAGTTGAGTGATGACCCCAGGCTTAAAGAAAACAATCCTGGGCAGCTAGGTGATGCAGTAGGTAGAGCGGCGGCCCTCAGTTCAGAAGGACCTGAGTTCAAATCCAGCCTCAGACCAAATCCTTGACACTTACTAGCTGTGTGACCTTGGGCAAGTCACTTAACCCCAATTGCCAAAAAATAATAAAATAAAGAAAACAATCCTCCTGCTGTTCCCCTCGTCAAAGCTGCTATTTCCCACAGCAGTTTTCAGGGTAGCTATTATCAGGAAATACAAGGGCTTGATATCATACCTGTTGAAGTATAGCGAGCAGGGAGAAATTTGCAGTAACATACATTCAGAGTCATAACTAGGAATTTTTGTTCCTATGGTAAAAGGCTGGAAAGGCCTAGAAAGGGTGGGAAGAGAAAGGAAGGGCAGGAGATGCCTTCACCCTGTGGGTCATCTGGTAGCATCATCTATTGATTGCAAAAGTATGTAATAGTTAGGTTGTACTTTGCCAGCCCCAACATTACAGCATTACAGAGGGAATCTACTTTCCTATAGCTTTCTGCACATACGCATGTCTTCCTTTCATTACCACCAACCTAGGCTACCCATTTCTCATCAGATGCTTTTCAATGAAGCACTCATTTCTCTTAATGATGACAGTGCATAATGGGAAGACCAAGCCCAGGCACTCCCCTCTCCCTATGACAGACTGAACAGATTTCACCTTGTGATATTACTTCCTGTGTGGGGAGTGGGTAAAAGAATGGCGTATGTGTGTGGTCACAAGCCCACACATTATGGATGGCATCAACTCTCATCCCAGGGAATGGGAGTTTATGGCAGTGATATTTCTCAGTGCTGACTGGATGTCCACTTCCAAACTTTCCACTTTGGTACTCCAGGACTGTTCATATCTGTTTAGCTCAAACTTCTTTTCTAGCACTGGAGTAATTTGAAAAAAATTCTCAAATTTAATATAATCAAATATTTGATTACAAAACAGTTTTAATGATTACCTCCCATCCATCAAAGTGGAAAAAACAATTAAGAACAACAAAATTCAGTACTAGCAGTGTTCTGGAAAACAGGTACACTAATTCTTCAACGGTGGAATTGCAAATTTATGAAATCTTTAAGAGAGAAATCTGGCAAAATGCAATAAAAGTTACAAAAATACACATGCTCTATCATTTCATTGTTATGCATTTATTCCAAAAGTCTTATAAAAATGAATGTTATCATTTGAAAATTTTTTCATAGCATCGTTATTTATCATTGCAAAAGAATTGGAAGAAAACAATTTCCCCCCAAGAAGGGAAAGCTTAAATAAATGCTAGTACATTAGTTTAATGAAATACTATAATTAAATTATAACTGGCAAGTATGGGGATTCTAGAGAAACTGAGAAATATCTTTATGAAACAAAGAAGAAGGAAAAGGAGAAAAAGAAGAAACATACACTAAAAATTACCACATAAGAGAAAAAGTAGAGACTGAGTCAGCAAACATAAAATGTGTGTGAAAACCAAAAGGGAATGACTGAAAAGATGTCATAATGTATGTTGAAAATAATTTCTATACCTAATTGCAAAGCATGTTTAACTAATGCTAATAGTTTATATTAAGTTTATAATAAAAACATTTTTTAAAGAAGAAAGTCTCATGTTGTGTGTAAATCCAGCAACCAGAGGGGAAAAGGATGATGGAAAGATCAACTGAGGCAGGAATAGAATCAATATTGTCATTGGAGTGTACTACAGGCCACCTAGGCAGGAAAAGAAAGTAGATGAAGAGTTTGGGAAACAGATCAAATGTTTTGCTTATTATATAATGGTGTTATGAAACTCCAGTTATCCAGATATATACTTGTCTCTGAACCAAGAATATAGCTATTAATTAAGTGTAAGCTTGTCTTAATGATAATTTCATAGTTCAAATGATGGAGGAATCAACAGGGAAAGATTTCTTTTTTTTTTCCAATTAAATTTTTTCTCTCCATTCCCCATCCCTGAAAATAACATAACAAATATGTGTAGTTAAGCAAAATGAATTGCCACATTGCTAATGTCTAAAATATGTCTCATTCTGCATTTTGAGCCTAAAATCTCTCTGTCAGGAAGTGGATATCATAAGTCTTTTAGAATCATGGTTGGTCATTGCATTGATCAGATATTTTAAATCTTTCAAGATTGTTTATCTTCACATTATTTGTGTTGTATCAATTCTTCTCCTGGTTCTGCTTACTTCACTCGGTACCAATTCATACAAGTCTTTTTTGGAAACCATATATATCTTTATTTCTTAAGCACAATAGTACTCATTACATATCATTATTTGTTCATCCATTCGCCAATTGATGAACACTTTCCTTTGTTTCCAGTTTTTTGTCTTTACAGAAAGGGCTGCTAGAAATATTTTTAGTACATATAATTCCTTTCCCTTTTTTGAATAATCTCTTTAGGAAATAAGCCCAATAGTGGTATCACTGGGTTAAAGGGTTAACACAGATTAGTGACTTTGGGGGCAGAGTTCACAATTGCTCTATAGAATTCCTAGTTGAATTCATAGCTTTACTTGTTTTTGACTGCAGCCTCTCCAGCACTCACCTTAAGTCAACTATGAGGTTTACTAGTAGTATACAAACCACAGTTGATTTTTTTCCCCCCTTGATCTATGATTTCATCAGTATAAGGAATTCCCCAGTGAGTAAATCCCCTCTACCAATGCAGATTGGCAACATATCTGCAATTTACAATTTTAGAAATCTACCTGAGCCACTGAGATATTAAGTGACTTGCCCACTGAATGGTATAGCATTCTTTTTTTTTTTTTGCTTTTTAGGCAATTGAGGTTAAGTGACTTGCCCAGGGTCACACAGCTAGTAAGTAAGTGTGAAGTGTTTGGTCTGAGGCTGGATTTGAGCTCAAGTCCTCCTGACTTCAGGACCAGTGCTCTATCCACTGTGCCACCTAGCTGCCCCGTGGTATAGCATTCTTAAAGGAAAACTTAAAGGAAACTCTAATTGAACTAAAAGGACAAATAGATAAACAATAATTATTTGGGACTCCAACATGTCCCTTTCAGATCTAAATGAATGTAAGAAAAAAATAATCAAGAAAGAAGTTGATTTGAATAGAATTTTTTAAAAATAGATAATAATAGATTTTTATGATGACTACCAAATGAGAATCATAAGGATATATGTATTTTTCAGCTTTTATTGCCTTTTCAAAAATTAATTATGGTTTAGGGCATAATAAATTTGTAAATTTTGAAATCAGAAATATTAAATATCTTTTACTGAACACAACTCTTTACTGACCAAAAATTATCATCAGTCTAATCATGTACCTCCTTTAGTGGACTGCTCTCCAACTATGATACTCTGCCTGGACTCACTTCTCAATGACTAACATAGTTTTATTTTCTCACATTTTCCATACCTAGTGATTCTGAAGAACTTACTTGCTTTCTATAACTTACTTTCTATCCTCAACTGTTCTCAACCCTGTCCCCACAATGTCCTACTTCATCAGATCTACCTGTAGCTTCCACTGTGCTCTTTGGAATGCTTGCTTCATAATTAACAAATATCCTTACACCTTTTTTAAAAAATTAATTAATTTATTTTTAGTTCTCAACATTCACTTACATATGCTTTTGAGTTTTAAATTTTCTTCCCCTCCTTTCCCACCTCCCTCCCCAAGATGGCATACAATCTGATATAGACTCTACATATTCCTATTAAACATATTTTCACATTAGTCATGTTGTAAAGAAGAATCAGAACCAATAGGAGGAACCACAAGAAAGAAGAAACAAAACAGAAGGAAAAAAAGAGCAAATAGTATGCTTCAATCTGCATTCAGATTTCATAGTTCTTTTTCTGGATGTGGATAGCATTTTCCATCATGAGACATTTGGAGATGTCTTAGATCCTGGCATTGCTGAGAAGAGCTAAATCTATCAAAGTTAGTCATTGCACGATGTGGCTGTGTACAATGTTCTCCTGGTTCTGCTCACTTCACTCAGCATCAGTCCATACAAGTTTTTCCAAGATTTTCTGAAGTCCACTTGCTCATCATTTCTTATAGCAACTTCCTTACATCTTAAACCACTTCCTTACTCATTCCTTACATCTTCTTGTCCTCACTAAGATATACATGTTTCCTGAAGATATCCCTTCTCTTGTCATCCTTTCTAGCACTGGCTATACTTTTTCTCATATTCCCCTAACTCACTGGTCATGGTGAGAGTCAGAATACTCTTTGTTCCCCACTGTCATAT